CGGTGGTGCCATGGTTACTAAAATTGAAAATTCTGTAAATACTCCTAGAGTTGTAGTCTTATTGCAGTCTTGCCAGTTGCCACAAAAAGAAACTTGTAAAGTTTTAAGTCCAAAATGCTTCTTTTCTCTTCCTTTGTTATATGTACAAACAAATAGAGCTACAGTCTGGACAGAGACAATGTAAAATGAGATAAGACATTAACCGACCCTCTGTTGACCTCAGGGTCATTTGACCTCCTTTGAACTGTCCAGCTTTAATGGCGAAAAGTAAGTTTAAGTAATTATGTTAATTTCAATAATAACGATGGAAAACGTAAATTTTTCATTATATCTTTCCGATATCAAGTTCATGATACTTTTATTATCTTTATTACGTAGATAATACATATTAATTGTTTAACTTTGATAAATATAGATTTATCTCTCACTAATAACTTCTCGAATCTCAGTAAATACAACATGTAAAATCAACTTATGATAAATTAAATAATAAGAAAATGACTAGAAACAATTTTTTAAAATAATTTTTATACATGTATTAGTAACTATCAAAATGTGATCCCTTTCAGCAAGGCACTTCTTTTTGACATTATACGGTAAGAAGAGAAAATCTTAAATATCTCAGCTTGTATACGAATAATAAAATAATGTAGTTCTGTTCCCACCTAATAATATTTTTGTGATATTATATTTCCTTAGGTATGATTCTCGATTTCAGAGTTAATTGTGTAGCTTGGATACAGTTCTTGACGTGTCATTGGAAAAGAAAGCTTAAAAACATTATTTTCTTACTTCAAATCTAATATAGAAAGCATTAAATATATGAACATACTTCCTTCAATTAATGCCACAATAATATAATTTATATCCCATACCATTTCAGTCGTGAATTATTTTGCAAGAAGCGAGAAAGAGCCACGATTTTTGGTTTCTTCCTCACAACAAGGTAAAGAGGGCCTTTAATAAACTGCAAATTCAAGTTACTATACTTGTATGTCATAAAGAAAGCATACATAAACAGTGATTGTTTATTAATTGTTTTACGTACGTACTTTTGATCCATCACCATTATAGCGGTTTGTTACAAACTGAAAATCTTAACAGTAAAATTTAAGCAAGAGTACTAAATACATGTATTGCAATTAAACAGTATAACAAATAAAGAAAAATTTCATCAAGTAATTTATATAACAGCTGTTGACGGTTATTGGGGAGATTGGAGTACATGGGGAAGATGCAGTGAGCCCTGTGGTATAGCGGGGTACCGTACAAGGTCCCGCCTCTGTGACAACCCAGCTCCAAAAAATGGCGGGAATCAGTGTACAGGGGCTGACCAGGAAATGATGCCCTGCTATACACAGTGTGGTAAATATTCAAAGCAATTTCATCTCATAACAGTATATTTACACAATTTTAAAGTAGCCCGAAGTTGGCTGAGAGAGACAAAGCCTTTCATCAAGTTTCATGTTTACATCTGCCATCTCCCAATTAAATCGCCTTCACGATGATTTTACAGAAGAAATTTATTAAACTAATTGAGACTTTCCAACAATTAAATATAAATGCAATTCATAATTACAACCATTAAGCTGTCGATGGACACTGGTCCACCTGGGCCCCGTGGAAACTCTGCAGTGTTACTTGTGGGAATGGTACAGAGGAATACATCAGGCAGTGTGATAACCCTGCTCCTTCTCATGCAGGAAAACGATGTGCAGGTCCCTCAACGAAACAAATTCCATGCGCTGCTCCGCCATGTGGTGAATATATATTATGTATTTACACAATGGAAGTACCTGAACTTAAAAAAATCTGACAAAAGGAAATAGAATTAATTTCTAAAAGTTCAGTGATTTTCAACACATAAATTTTCTTTTCCCCTGTGATCCATGTATTTTTAACAAAATGTGTTTGTTCATGGTTGCAATGTCAATCTGGCTAAAGTAATTTCCTGGCCAAAAAATCACTTATCTATAAAATAGATATGAAATTTAAAGATATATTTTTCCTTCTTTTCTGGTTAATTAAAGATAATCAGATTTAAAATCAGTTTCCTAGAACTTTTAATTTAATTGTATTTAGTGTCATTTTATAGTTATAAATGGACACTGGGGTTCGTGGTCGCACTGGGGCGCATGTTCCGTAACTTGTGGTAGTGGTTCTATACATCGGATTCGATATTGTAACAATCCTTCACCACAACATGGAGGTCATTCTTGTTCTGGACCAAGAAAGGAGAGCAAACATTGTCATCAAATCGCATGCCGTAAGTTTTTTTTTATCTTACCACATATACCAACTGAAACTAGGGGATATTATAAATCCTCTTGTGAAGTCACCCTTTGTTTTCGAGTTCCAATATTTTTTTTTCAGGAATGGAGAATTTTAACTTACTTTGAAAACGGTTTTTGCAATGTATCGATTCCCTTCCCGTTTTGTCGTCCGCGTGGCGCAGTGGTTAGAGCGTATGCTCTAGAGTCGCGAAGTAAGGAGATGATCCTTAGGTCGCAAGATCGAATTCTACTGTCGGAGGTGAAGACCGGTCCTCCGAACGAGACCGTATACACCGAGGTCCTGTGTTGCACTAGGTGCTGGCACGAAACCCTATTTTTTCACCACTTATTGTGACGATTAATATTTTGTAGTTCTTCAACAAAACAAGCATTTGTCATACTCTGCTAATACCCTGCTACTATTTTTACTGGCAATTAAAATTGGCAGCATCTTGGCCCTTCAAGGCGTTTTTTCTCTAAATTTCTGTGTTTTGTAGCGATTGATGGACATTGGAATAATTGGTCTTCATGGGAACAGTGCTCAGTAACTTGCGGTAACGGAACACGTAGCCGAAGTCGTCGTTGCAGTAACCCAACGCCCAGTAATGGCGGTGCTATATGCTTTGGTGCTGCTAAGGAAACCAAGTCATGCCAAAATAATCCATGTAGTCACTGTGAGTACCTAAATGTACAATTCCTTAATAGTTCCCGAATTTTTCGGGATCTTTAGCATATTAAACAGGGGAGTTTGGTGTATGTAAAAGCTAACAATGGACTTTGCTGAATATATTCGTGTAATTGGTTACTGTAAATTTAACAAGAATATGTCCAGCTTTTTCTACGAAATGCTCTAATTATACCCCCGCTCCAAAGGAGAGGGGGTATACTGTTATACCCTCGTGAGTCCGTGTGTCTGTCCGTAACAAATTTTGGTTGCAGTTTTCTTAGCGACTACTCATCACACATGCTTGAAATTTTAACACAATGTTTTCAGAGGCATGCCATATCATGGGATTCATTTTTCTTCAAATCGGATGTTTATCCGTGCGTCTGTCCGTTTCATACATAGCAAATTTTCGTCGCAGTTTTGTCAGTAACTACTCATCGCAAATCATTGAAATTTAAACACAGTCTTTGCTGAGGCATGCATTTTAGTTCAAATCATATATCAACTTCCTGTTTATCCATTCGTCTGTCCGTTTCATACATCACAATAATTTAATTGTAGTTTTCTCAGCAAAAATCTCTTCGCAGATGCTTGAAATTTTCGCACAAACTTCACTGAGGCATGCCATAGGGTTGGATATATTTTTATTTGATTCTGATGTCAACTCCCTATTTAATTATGCATCTGCCCATAGCTGAACTTGTGTTTATCAATATGATAATGTATATTCACATCAGAGCGGGGTATTACTAGTGAGTATTAGCTAACAGACATCTTGTTAATTTTATTACAGGTGCCGACAAGCTTGCTAACGTTGTCTGCCTACATCTTGCAAAGGATGGACATTGTCATGATATCATTGGATTTACACAGTGTCCAAGGTTTTGCCATCATTGTCATTAGAAGAAACTAGATAAAATTTATTAAACATTGTATTACTTTATTCATTTGTTATATGATATTCTTGAAAAGGAAAAACCATGTTCGGTATTTAGAAAACGTTAATTATTATTTTAACCTTTTGTTACGTGTCTTAATTTTTTTATGCTTACGTTGAATTTCTACATTTTGCAATGGATGGATATAGTCATGATATGATTGGATTTGCACTGGGTCCAAAGTTTTCCCAACATAGCTGGTCACTTGTGACATCAATATTGCATTTTTTGAGACGATAGATACTGTAGATTCCTTATTTTTCGCAAATAGTTATTATCGCGAAAGGGCTCTTCAACGTCAAATCGTGAAAATAATAATTCGCAAATTGACGTTTGATTAACAGATTCTACATTGATTTAAGCACCATAAAAATAAAGGCGAATAATTTTATTTTGCGTGTGGTGCTTCTAGGAAATTACGCGATAATTAATTCCACGCGTACATGTAGGAATCTACAGTACTGTAGATTAGGGTGGGGTTGAAGAATCAAGTTCGACATTGAGTACTTTTAGCAGTGGATGAGACACCTTCTCAAACTGATAAATTGAAATCTAAGGGATTTATTTCTTACTCCAAACCCCCTTAGCTAATTAGAGTGTAGCTAAGAAAGAGGGTCTGGTGCTAAGATTCCTTTTTTTTTATTCCGTTGTATGTACAATTTGACGAAACCATGAGTGCGGTGTATATATACTTCCACTTTAAGCACCAAAGTGCAAATTACTTCTAAGTTATACTCTTCCGCACTACTTATTATTCAGGGATTAATACTTGATTTTTTTATCCATTTACTAACATTTAAAAAGCTTCAACGCCAACGCTTAAACTTAATATATTGAGGGCATCATCACTTCTTACGAAGAGGACATTCAATTTCTTGATGAAATATATGCAGATAACGAACAGTGTTCAAGTTCAAAAGTCCTTTAATCAATTTTGAGCAAAGCAAACACGGGTCTCCATAATATCAGAGGTGGGATCAGATGCCACTGAGGAGTGAGCATTCCCTGCCGATCGGTAGCTCGAATTTTAAAACTCTCTTACAATATACCATTTGCAAGTTTTTTTATGCAAAGTGACTTAAACAATTGTAACTTTTCTTGTTCAGTGAAAAACTCACTCTAAAATAATTACACATTTCCACAATAATGCTAAACATTGTTCTTCGGACTTAATTTGTCTTTAATTCAAAAGGGGAAATCCCCTTTATCTCATTAAAAATTGGAAAATCAAAAGTTCCGTTTCTTGATAACAAATATTCTTATTATTAATGAAATGTGAAAATGTTCTTAATGGTCAAATATTAATTTGTATTGAGTTGAATTTAAAATACTGCCGATTTGCATAAGCCAATAAATTTCGGAAAGAAACATTATAAACCACAATTATTTGAAATAAAGAAACGTTGGCATTTCCATTTTTTTTCTATTTTACTGAATTAGAGATGAATATTATCTGTTAAAAATTGTATAATGAGTTTCCTTCTGTTTTATTTCATTTAATTAATACCTGTATTTAAAGATCTTATGTCTATTTTAGAAACCAATTAGCCTTATCCATTGTTATGAAATGTTTATGCATTTATTTAAAAGAGGAGTTTTGTACTTTAAACAGAATACCGAAACCCTTCACTTATAAAATTTATATATCATTTATTCCATAATAATATAAAATGAATGAACAGAATAAAATAATATTTAAAACATTAAGAAAAAAATAAAGTTTTCAAATAAAAATTGTGTCACAAAGTCATTTTAAAAATAAATATGAAATCAATATCATTGTAAGCAGAAAAATAAATAAAAAAATAAATAAAAAAATACAAATATCTAACTTTTATATAAATAAAGTGTACAACATTATATACCTTGATGAAAGGGGAAAGATGTCCCCTCCCCACAATTTAAACTTGAAATAGTTTCCTTTGTACCACGCAGAGAGCAAGACTACTAAAGAAAATCCATTAATTTATAACAGCATCAGTTTAAACCTTCTCTAAATTTGAATCATCTCCTAGCTTAAATCCATAGTAGTGCTGTCAACTACCCTTGTCCGATGTACATTCTCATCAATATTAGAACTGAGAAATTTGAAAAGGTCCGATTTGCTCAAATCAGTCGTACTGTTATCCATATCATCCGCAAACTGGTCAAAAACTTCAAAATCACTGTCAGTTTCCACAACAGATAACTCAGTGAAACTTAGAAAAGACACACACGTCACGATACAGGCTGTACAAAGAATGTATTCCATTCTTTTTTTTTTTTTATAGTAATTCCTTTTTTTTAAAAGGAATCCTCACTCGAAATAAGCAGCTTTTCGATCCACTGACATTTAATTTTTAAAATGTTGCAAAACTTCTCAAAGTAAAAAGTCCTTTTTTTGTGTTTTAATGAATCTTCTATTTTCACCCTTAACTTAAGTTGAATCGCCAATGGCGGATCCGTATATCATGTATATAGTCAGCGATTATCCTGATAATGAATCAAAATGCTATTACAGAAAGCATAAATGTGTTTTAAATAAATATCTTTAAATATTTGCTTCCGTGTTGACCCCATAGAATCAAATCAAGTTAATTAAGCACAAAATATGAAACATATGCAGAGAGCAATTATTTTATTTATAAGGGAAAAGTATATCTGTGTTGATCATTGTATTCATTAATCACGAAAACGAATAATCCAGGCAAATCAAGCAAACAAGGTTATAGATGCCAAAAGATTGTTGGATTTAATAAATATTCTAAAGCTTTGTTCACGAAAACACATGTTTCATATACAGGACAACCCCTACTTAATTATTTAAATAGCCTCATGATGCAAGTACATTTCTCAAATTAAGCACTCCAACATTCGATAAGTCAAATGTATCAATCGGTAACCCTCATTTCGCATTAACAGAATTTCTTTTTAAGGTTATTTAATGAAAGAACGTGGGCGCTTTTGATGAGCATTCGGCAGGAATCTGGGCGTACTTGAAAAGTGAAAATTTTATCGACATATCACATGAAATTTTGACATTTTTTTTTTATTTATCGGGTTACTGGAAAGGAAAATATTTTCCTGAAATTGAGCTCCGATTAGCTAAAAAATAACTTGAAAATTGGCCAGATCAGAGATTTGGTACAAAAAGGTACATTTTTAGACACGTTTTTCTAAAATTTTTCTATCTCTGGGTCTTCTCTCTATGATTTTGAAACGTTATTCGTGTGTATTTGAATTCAAAGAAACGAATACACTTTTTTTAAAAAATGGAGAGAAGACCCAGAGACCACGAAAAATGAACCTTTTCCCCCAAAAAGTCAAATGTGTGAATGTGGTGCTTCTTTGTCCTTTTAAAATTGTCGGTATACGTGTAGCGGTGATAGCTCATTAAGTTGGGTTACCTGTTCACTGCACTCGAAGCGAAAAGTTTTTGGTTTGAGCCTGGCATGGGGCGTTATTTTTTTTTTTTATGCAAACAACTATTTATTTTGTCAGTTTCATTTTATGTACTTATGTATTAAAATTTTGATTAGATAAATTTTGGTTCAGTTTGGTTCTCGAGCGAAATCTATTCAGAATCTTATCTTCTATTCTATAATGTACATGTATCATGCATCTAGGCATTAAATATTTTAGGTGTTTATTTTTTGTGAAACATTCATATGTTACAGTACCCATAGGAATAACGGACCTAAATGTTACAATTTCACACGGTCTTTCAAACTAAATGAAAAAAAAAACAACTGTGGACGTGCTTGAAAAATCTGACCAGCTATGTTCAGCCAACCAAATCATGGACATTTAAACCATAAATGTTTCGTACAAATGATTCCTGCAGATTACTCGCCAAATGCGCCCATTTTCTCTTAGACTGATGATTTTTTTTTTTAACAAATTGGATTAGATTACCAATTTTTGCAAAATTTCTTTCTTTTTGCAAAAATAATTTTTTTTAAAGCAAAAAAAGTTACTGATGCAAAAAAAGCATAATTACTTAAGATTAAGAGCTTGGTCTA